GATGTAGAGGTGGGAACAGAAAGCATGTTTGGTGGCTGTAAGAGACCTGGATGCCAACCTGGGCTCTAGTTATAAATGAGCAACAGAAGACACGTCACCAAGTGAGAAGAGGAAATTGAGATGGACTAAAACTCACACGAAGTCAGAACAATTATTTGGAAGTGAAGAGGAAATTAGCTCAGCTTCATCTAGATCTTGCTGTCCTTCTCTGGCACATTGAATCACTTCTGTGAGTAGCAAAGGATACACTACAGTCTCTCCTTGTCCTTGGCAGTGCCAGCAGAGTGCCAGATGGTTTACTCCTTTAGGGAAATTGTGGTAGATCAGATATGCAGTTTTGATTGGGCCCCAAAACTGACCCAACCCAAGCCCAAAGACATTATGTGGGAACCCCAACACAAGCCCAGACTACAGAAGAGTTTTGGGACTGAACCAGATCTGAACACATATTTCCTCTTCCTTTCATTCACAAATGTAACACCTTTGCATCACCATGCTTTATCCAGTTGTCCCACAAGTTGTCCACTTATTGCACATGCAGATACATTCACATAAGAACGTTGTGCTAAATATGTCTTTACTTTAATAAACGATTAATCATATTGGATTAATTATTAAAGAAAATAAATAATTACTTTAATTAATATTAAACTTCCTCGGGGTACCACCCTTAAAGAAGGGAAACAATAGCCAATAATCATTGATGTAGTCTCATAAAATACACTTAACTATTAATTTGACTACACCCAAAATCATCAATTGATAGTTTAAGTGGAAGGATTAGGAGTTCTGCATAGAATAGGCTGTGTGTGTGTGTGTGTGTGTGTGTGTGTGTGTGTGTGTGTGTGTGTGTGTGTGTGTATGTGTGACAGAGAGAGAGAGAGGGTGCTTATGGGGGGTTGAGGACCAGAAAAGATATGTATCTTTGTTCTCTTTGGGTGGTTGCTGGTGTGCTGCATTCTTCAGGTGACGATCCCTTCAGTTTGTTTGCTCACATTTGCGGTGCGCTATCCAGGACTCTCAGGGAAATCGCAGGCTCTTGTGCTGCACTTTAATCCTTTCTTGTGCATTCATTGGTGGGCCTAGCCGCACTGTGGTCCGGGAGCTTATCACCAGAGGTGGGTAGAGTAGCCAAAAATTGTATTCAAGTAAAAGTACTGTTACTTCAGAATAATATGACTCAAGTAAAAGTAAAAAGTAGTCATCCAAATAATTACTTGAGTAAGAGTAAAAAAGTGCTTGGTGAAAAAACTACTGAAGTACTGAGTAACTGTTGAGTAACATCTGATTTATTTTTTAACACAAGCATTCAATCAGACAGACAAAAATACAAAATAATCATCTTTAGGAAAATTATAGTTCATCCAATCAATAAAATGAATTAAAATTAACTAATTAATTACAAAGTAGCTTAAATTAAAATAATCCAGGTAAATTCAAGTACTTGAAAAATAAAATCAATAAAATAATAATAAATAAAAAATAAATAAGCACAAGTAACACAAATTTCCAAACCTTTATACTTTTTTACCAGGCTCTGCAGGCAGAACTAGAACAAGGCAGCCCATAAACTCTCATAAAGTGTGTGTGTGTGTGTGTGTGTGTGTGTGTGTGTGTGTGTGTGTGTGTGTGTGTGTGTGTGTGTGTGTGTATTTGGAAATTACTGAAATGTCCGGTTTTTTTGGTAGACACAGAACACACTGCATAATGTAGCTGCTGTTTCGCACTTTTACTAAGGTAAACATGCTTTCAGTATGAGGCCAGGGGTGTTCCTCCTCGTCTGTGTCTGCATTGCCGACGGTTGATTCTGATATTTTTGTTTGCTACGACTGTAAAGCTCCGTCCCGCCGCTGAGATTGAGTATGGTCACGTGACGAGACTGCACAACTACGTTTGATTTAGGGATGCACCGATTCACATTTTTTCACTTCCAATCCGATCCCGATACCTGAATTTGGATATCGGTCGATACCGATACTATTCCGATACCAGAGCTGTGTTTGCTTTAATATTATTATTATCATTATTGTTGATTTTATATGAGGCTGAAATAAACTCCTCTCAACAGGCAAGTATGATATGTACGTATGTATGCATGTCTGTCCCAAAAGGCAACTTGAGGTAAGTATAAGGTCAGAAAAGGAAGTCAGAAAAACTGGAAATCCTGTTAACAGGAAGAATCACATTCTGAAAACAAATATGCAACTGTAAGGGTTTCAAATTTATTTTCATGTCAATATTTATTAAATTCCCAAAATGTCAAATATTTGAGTCTTGAAATACAAGAAAAGTGCAATAAGTGTAAACATCGTACACACACTATCAATAAAACAGTGTGCATCTGAACACCACAAATCAAGTACACTGGCTCTTGTAGCATCAACAAATCAAGGTTTTAAATTGTCAATTATCTGAAATATAAGAAAAGTGCAATAACTGTGCGCACACACCCGCACCCACACACACACACACGCATACACACACACACACACGCACACACACACGCACACACACACACACACACACACACTCGGTAATCCCTTTAGCTTCAAGGTGTCTGCCTGGAGTTTACCTTGTTTTTGGAATGACTCCAGAAGTGATTCCTGACAGCTTGCCTAAAAAATCCTTGTGCTGTTTCGTGTGGTGCTTTTTTAAAAATGTTTGATTGCGTTCGTAGTGTTGTACGACGCGAGGGAGCTTCTGCGTCTCTGAATTACGGCTTTGCAAACATTGCATTTTGCTGTCTTGCTCTGCGGTGTTTCCAGTGTAAAGTATTTCCACACAGCGAACATGTTGGCTAGCCACAATGCTGCTCAATGCTATCCTGCTAGCTGGCTGCAAACTGCGGAATGTATTTCCTGAGTGTGGGCATGTCTCATAACTCTGTGTCTCATTGAGCCGCACCTCCGTTCAGAAAATCCATTCCACAGTTTGCAGCCAGCTAGCAGACTGGCCGGCAGGAATCACCTGTGGAGTCATTTCAGTAGACAACGTTAACGCAGACCTGGCTCATGGATATCGGAAATGTGCGCAGGTTGGATCGGGAAATACCAATGTGTGAATTACGCTGGTATCGGTCCCGATACCAATACTGGATCGGATCGGCCCCATCCCTAGTTTGAGCAGAAGTCTCTCTCTCTGTCAAAATAAAACATCAAAATGAGGTGTATGCGGGGGGGATAAAAACAATGACGCGTAGAATACCAAAGAGGTAAAAGAAAAGTAACGAGCTCATTGTAGCCTAATGTAGCGGAGTAAGAGTACAGTTTCTTCTTCACAAATCTACTCAAGTAAAATTAAAAAGTATAGTGTTTTAAAACTACTCCTAGAAGTATATTGTACTCAAGTAAATGTAACGGAGTAAATGTAACTCGTTACTACCCACCTCTGCCCATCACCCAGTGTGGGCAAAGGTGAAGAGAGCAGATAGAGCTAAAAGAGAGCTAATAATGGGTTGCCCAGGAGTTTTGTTACCGCTGCTAACGTTATGCTGGTCACAGGTAACAGCGGTGTCCCTATGTCGGGATGGGAGCTAGAAATCAGACTGGCACCAATGCATAAAAATTATTTTTCACATTCACACTTGCATATGCAGCTGAATGCTACACTGTGGGCTGTCATGAAGCAAAACACCACAACACTAGGAGAGTACAGTAAACAAAGGATCTGCTTTATTTTATCCTATTCTGATCCATTATCTTCATCTATCTTATAGGTATCTCAACGACCAGTTGTTTTAAACCAAGTGGGTAGGTTGAAGAGTATGTGACAGACCCATAGACAGATGAAACGAGACAGCACTTTTCTTTATTTTGATTGCACCCTAAAAGATTCAATGTCTATGTAAAGGTTATGCTCTACAAAGAAAGAACATATTAACATGCAAATCATGTTTGTTTTGAGAAAAACTGTTCATAGGTTAAGTCAATATATCGTGTTAATGTTTAAACTGAACATAATGTCCAGTGTCATCTTACAATATACAGCATCCATTGAGGGGACACCCAAACATCCAAACTTGCACTAGAGCACCTGCATTTCAGAGCAAAACAACGGGCACTATGGCTGACCAGATTCCTTTCATTTAACCACTTGAAACACTGAAACAAAATAAGACTTACCAAAATTGTATTTGTTAGTCTTTCTACAGTCTGCAGTCAGCAATGTTTGTTTGGAAAAAATAAACTCATTAATTCACAAGTTACATTAGAAAATATCCAAATAAGAGGCTCCTATGGCTACTATGTAACGTTAGCTAATCCTTGGGGGACAAAAAGTACAGAAAGGAACTACATCCTCTAAAAGTGTTTGTTGTCCTGGTGCCCTCTCGTTTTGTCGTTTCTTCCGGGAAATTCTTGTAATTTGCATGGCCCTCAAATTTTTAAGTTTATCTGATGCCACCCAAGTTGCCATATCATCTATGAAAACACAATCTGCACACAATCCACATCCTGACAACCTACAACCCGATTCTAGGTGCGTATGCACAGATACTGTCTGCTTAGGCAGACGGGGTTGGCTACAGTAACTTAACATGAGCTAAAAATATCAGGGCAGGATGTTGTCCTACCTAAAAATGTTTTCCATTTTCTGTCTGCTGGAAGCCACACACTCATACTGATGAACGTGTGAAGTAAAGAGCCTAATGTTACCTTACAGTTCTTTGGTTTATCAGTGAAGTGTACTCACTATACCGGTAAACCAGACTGTGGTAAACCATTAATGATAGGATTGTTTCAGTTTACCGTTCACTCACATGACTCTTTATCCATTTTGATGTCCAGGGATATAGAAAAAATGTGACGAGCAGCATCATTAAGACGAAGCTTAAAAGTTTGAGTTTATTGATCAGATTGGTTAATTTGCAATATGGTTGTTGTTCATTTAGAAATAAAATAATTATTTTGTACCTTTTATCCCTTTACCTTAGACACAAACCTTTTAAACTAGATTAGTTTAGTTATTCAAGGTGTGTCCAAGTGATGTGTTTTGTGCTCCAGGTTCTAGCGTATCCAAGTCCATGCAGATCCAGTCCATATCTACTGAACCTGACCAGACCACTCAGCGCAGCTTCTCTCAGCTTAAAGCATCAGAATTCCCCGGGTCCTTTGCCACCAATGTTAAATTACCAGCAAAGAAGAAGAGGAAACCATCCAAGTCTCCACAGAGGAAAAAAGAAGCAAAGTCATCAAAGAGGCAGAAAAGATCCAAGTCACCATGTAGGAGTCACAGGGGGGGATCGAGATCCAAGAGCCCTTCAAAGAAGAAGCGATCACGGTCAAGGTAGGGACATTTTTAGTTTTACTAATACCAATTAAAGCTGCAAGCAGCATTGGGCGGGACCTCGCACTCCACGCAACTCTGGGCGTGCTGCAGCCCTAACGTTCCGTCGTAACACATGCGGACCGCAACATGAAAATATCACGTAAATCAGCTCAAAATCACCACGCAGCGCTTAATTCCTGTTGCCAGTAGGTGGCGCTATCACTATGTCTGAATATTGTCATGTAGACATGTTCAGGGCGGGACTCTTATCAAACACGTGAAGTTTCATTGAGATTGGACCACGTACGCTGAAGTTATGAGGATGTGTTCAGGAAGAGGCTGTTACAGAATATATGAAGTTTATTGGAGATTGGACATTGCACACTGAAGTTATGAGTACTGTTTTATGGGGAATCGGCTGAATTCAACAAGTCGTCACGTCGACACACAGTCACAAATAGCGCAACTTTTCATCTACAGTATGTTTTGATTGTACTGACCAATTCTGATATTGATCCGATATATTCCCTAGGAAGAATTCGTTCAAATAAAACATGGAAAATTGCCAAAAATAACAAAAAATTTAAAAAGGCCGACTTTGACGCACATCCTTCAACGTACATGAACAAATAGCACAAATTTTAATCAGCAAAGATTTTTGCTGTCTAAGTTTGAAGTAGATTCGATAAGTCCCCTATGATGAGTACATTCAAATACAACGTGAAAAGTTCGCTGAAAGTGAAAATCAAAATCAAAATGGCCGACATCCCGTGGGCTTGGGGGTATGGGTCCAAGAAGCTTTTGTGTAGGTCTCGGCACGTTACACACGTGCCTACCGAGTTTCATATATATCGGTGAAATGTGGCTGCTTTGTTGAAATACTGTAGGGTGTGCTACAAACACGACAAATACGATTGTTAGTATGTGAGCTACAGGCAACAGTCTACACCGCCCTGTGAATTTCATGTTCACAAGTATTACAGTCTCTGCACAGTAATGTACCCTGCCACCAGAGCGCCACCTAGTGCATAGGAGGAACATGAAAAAGTAGTTTATGGACATTTCGCGCTCTAACGGAAAAAAAATCTAGGCGGAATTGGGCGTGTCCTATATGGGGAGATGAAGCTCCATTCACCGAACGCATGGATATAAGGTTTTTGAATGTGCGACAAATGATGCGGGAGTTATTAGCCTAAACGCACTTTTGATGATGGTAGCAACACCTAGTGGCCGACCCAAAAGCGACGCATAGAATATAAAATTTTTTACCAGGCCAGATAACTTTGCCAAATAAAATTGAGTTTTCGTATATGTTCAGGGGGGCAAAAACGCAGTCAAAGGGGCTAAAAATAATAGCTAAGAAGAATAAGAAACATAGCAAATACAATAGGGACCTCAAGCGGTCATTGGCTCGGTCCCTAATTAAAGCTGCAAGCAGCACTGGGCGGGACCTCGCCATCAATCTACGTCGGGGCCTGCACGGTGGTCGCCCACCGCAGCCGCGCCACACCACATCACCCCACTCCAAAACCCTCATCGCCAGAAGCTGAGGGAGACCGCTCTACGTTGTCACGCGTTTCAGACACTGTGCAAAAGACTTAAGCTTTGATAGCGAGACTCTTCACTGCGAAACATGGAAATTCAGGGCTACGCCACGGACACACCGTTTGACGCACAGTAAATATTTGATTGACTTTTGATCACCAACGTGTCTAGATTGCAGTGATCGAATTTGAAGTCAATGCCATAAAATCTGTAGGAGTAGTTAGTTAAAATAGCATCCCTGAAATGCCGGAAATGGCATCACAGTTGGCCAACTTTGACGGCATGCCACAGACCTACAGTCGCAAAATGCACAACTTTTAATCAGCAACATTTTTTGGCTGTACTGACCAAATTTGAAGCAGATCCGATAAATTCCCTAGGAGGAGTTTGTTCAAATGCATGGCAAAAATTTGCCAAAAGTGAAATTTAAAATCAAAATAGCCGATTCTCTGCATCTTTTTGTGCAGATGTGCCTGATTTTTGCAATGTTATGTAGGTGAAACAAGGCAGTCCTTGAAGTTTGTATTATGTGTGGAGTCAAAGGACAAATCCTGATCAAAATAACCTTAGATTCCTTATGGTGGTGCTTGAGGCCAGAGTAATCCCATCTACAATCTAGAAGAATTCATTGAATTTAGTTGGTAAGATTGATGGGAGAAAAGCCAAAGTCAGTATATATCTGGTTTTACAGCTGTTGAGGTTCCTGCATTTGAAGCTAATTAATAGGGAAAAAGTTAAATTAAATCCAATCCAATCCAACTTTGTCAAGCACTTTAAAACAACCAAAGTTGACCAAAGTGCTGTACAGAAGAATAAATAATACATCATAAATAAAAGACATAACAGCTCACATGAGGCGCAAAATTACATATAAAATACAACAATAAAATGAAAAGACATAAAACATGAGTAAAGATAATAGCCACGCAATAAAAAGCAATCAAAATAAGAAATTAAATCAAGTAAATAAAGTCGACATCTTACTAGGTGTCAAAGGCCACAGAGAAGAGATGGGTTTTAAGACGGGTTTTAAAAACAGACAGAGAAGAGGCCTGTTTAACGTGCAGAGGCAGATCATTCCATAATTTAGGAGCAGACACAGCAAAGGCACGGTCCCCTCTGAGCTTCCACTTAGTTTTAGGCACACTCAGGAGCAGCTGATCATCTGACCTGAGAGAGCGGACGGGTATATAGGGGTGTAGAAGCTCAGAGAGGTAGGGCGGGGCAAGACCATTCAGGGATTTAAAAGCAAATAAAATTTTAAAATGGATCCTAAATTGAACAGGCAGCCAGTGGAGTGAGGCTAAAATGGGGGAAATGTGCTCATGTTTACGTGTGCCAGTTAAAAGACGTGCAGCAGCATTCTGTGCCATCTGGAGACGGGCGATGGAGGACCCACTAACCCCCACATACAGTGCATTACAGTAATCCAGCCGAGTGGTAACAAAGGCGTGGATTACCGTCTCAAAGTGCTGCCTTGATAGAATTGGCTTTATTTTGGCCAGCTGCCTCAAATGGAAAAAGCTTGATTTGACAACAGCCTTGATCTGACTGTCAAACTTAAGCTCAGGGTCCACTTAAACCCCTAGGTTTGTGATGCTAGGTTTAATATACTGGGCCAAGGAACCCAGATCTACAGGTGGGGTCCCAGTGGTGCCACCGAAAACCATCACTTCCGTCTTTTTGTCATTGAAATTTAAAAAGTTCAGAGCCAGTCGAGGCAGACGACCACCCACCTAGAGCCGAATCCGGATCTGTCCTAGGTTTCTGCCTTTTAACAGGCAATTTTTTCTTGCCCTTGTCGCCAAGTGCTTGCTCATGGTGGTACTGTTGGGTCTCTGTAAATAATGTTTTAAAGAGTTTGGTCTAGACCTACTCTATTTGAAAAGTGTCCTGAGATAACGTCTGTTATGAATTGGCGCTATACAAATAAAATTGAATTGAAAAATTGAATCCAGGCCTTTATGTCGTCGAGACACTTAAGTAGCAGTCTGACAGAGTATTCATTTTTCTTTTTAAGAGGCACATAAATCTGACTGTCGTCTGCATAACAGTGGAATGAAAAGCCGTGCTTCCTAAGTATGGAACCAAGTGGGAGCGAATAGAGAGAAAAGGAGAGGGCCAAGAACTGAGCCCTATGGGACCCCACACGAGAGAGAAGCAGAGGAGGATACAGAGTCACCTAGGCTGACACAGAAAGTTCGATCAGCCAAGTACGACTTAAACCACTCCAGTGCTATGCCCCTGATTCCCACCCACTGCTTCAAACGTGAGATCAATATTTCATGATCCACTGTGTCAAATGCAGCAGTTAAATCTAAAAGCACAAGGATAACACAGTCACCAGACTCAGTAGCTAAAGAGATGTCATTAAAAACTCTTAAGAGAGCTGATTTGGTGCTGTGCAGGGTTTTAAAACTGGATTGGAAAACCTCTAGGATATTATGTTCTTCCAGAAAGGCCATTAAGATTTTTTAATCAGAGGTTGTACAACTGCATGTTTAACATTTTCGGGAACCACACCTGAGGTCAGACTGCTATTTATGACTGCAATAACAGATGGTCCTACAGTGGGGAAAACCTCCTTAAATAGTCGAGGGGGGACGGCATCATTTGGAGAACCTGAGGGCTTCTTTTAGCATCTTTCACAGTTTTCTGATAATGACGCCAGCAGTCCCTTAACATTTGAAAAGACACCTGCAGTTTGTCCTTCTTCACTTGCACTCAGCTCTACGGCACTCACGTCTGACCGCATGAGTCGTGTCATTTAGCCAGGGCTCAGATTTAGTTTTAGGCTGCCTGGATTTTAATGGAGCCACACTAGAGTTGGTTTCGCCATGGGTGTGTTGCTTAGTGGGGGAAACCTGTTTGAAACATGAACTTGTTGGTGGTGAACCATGGGCATCTGCTGCTTTGGACAATCACAATGTCTCCATGGCTAGCAGAAACTACATTTTGTCTGCTCGCTCAGCTACTGGGGGCATGCCAACTATAGCGGCTAACGATTTTTCAGTGGTGCAGTTCTTGCTGGGATTTCAACTCCTCAGAGCAAAAAGTGTCTTGTTCATCTTTTCCTGACTTACAGCCAGAAAATCTGTGGGCAAGACTGAGAAGATGTGACTACACTGATTGTATTTTTGAGGCTACAGCCACAGACATGGATGAACTCAGTGACAATATGACCTTCTGTGAGGACATGTGTGTGACCTTCTGTGCATACAACCGCATACCCTGGTTTATAGCAAAACTCAGGCAGCTTTGTCAAGCCAAGGAGGAGGCCTACATAAGTGGGGACAGAATCCTGTACAACCAGACCAGAAATGCACAACAGAAAATCAGCAAAGAAAAGCAGCAAAGAGAAGCTACTCTGAAAAGTTGAACAGCTGGTCCTCTGGTGTTGTCAGAACAATATGGAGCAGAAAACTCTGTGTCTGCTGTGGATACCTTTAGGTTTCTGGGATGCACAATCTACCAGGACCTAAAGTGGAAGTCCAACATAGACTCCATCATCAAGGATGCCTAGCAGAGGATGTACTTCCTGCGCCATTTCAAGAAGCTCAACCTGCCTAAGGAGGTGCTGATCCAGTTCTACATCGCCATTATTTAGTCTGTTTTCTGCTTATCCATCACTGTCCGATTTGGATCTGCCACCAAACTGGACAGGAACAGATTACAACCTGCCACTAGCTCGCTCAAACTTGCTGCAATTTTGTTTGAATATGTATTTTTTTCAAAGATGGATAGGAGCCATGCCGGCCCAGCTTGGATTTAACGCTGCTCCTGGCTTATCTCCGTTTTTTTTGTTGTTAGGAGGGTTCAACCCCACAGATTTCACACACAGGGTTATCTCTCTCATCCATGCTCTGTTCACCGGGAATTAAAATTGAGGACAGTGATTTGTTGTTTCTTTGTGAAACTTCACAGATTTTATTTTTCTCTCTAATCTCAAGCAGGGACACACTACAAACTTTTTAAATAATGGTGCATCATACACTATAGGATGTACCAGATAATCTGGGCCGAACATCCGTACTGACCAAGGTCTCAAGACCAGGCCTAGGGGCAAAAATAATACGGTCAGTGCAAAACTGCCAATCAGAGGAATAGTTTCTCTTGCTATTGGAGGGGACTTCATGTGCAGATATGGTTTAACAGTTGCTTCACTATAAATTAATTTAACTCTATGTTGTCTGTGCAGGTCAGGGGGCTGGAGATCACGGAGGTCACGGTCAGCGTCACAGGGTCGGAGGAGGGCTACATATAGCCAGAGAGACCGTTGGAAACGAGAACCAAGTCACTCCCCTGTACTCATCCTTCGCAAAAATAGATCCCCCACCCGGAAACACTGCAGTTTGAGCAACAGCCCTCAACGCATCAGTGAACTGGGTCAGATCAGTCATTTGAATGTTTTACACCAACTGCTGTTTCATTTACAAGTTGACATTATCATCATTATAATCATGAGACAGTTAAATCGGTTAAAGATGTCATGAAGTCACTATACGCAATTGGTACATGCTCGAGTGGAAAACTTTACACCTGAAACTGAATGAAAAACTGCTAAAGCATTGCTGCAATGGTATAGCTCTGTTGTATAAACAACTGCACAGTATATTTGGAAAGATTTCAGTTTTTGCAGACCGCCAGGCTAAACAAAGGCAAAGCACCATGTTTCTCAGGAGATGTGTAACATTAACCACTGCATTTTAATGTAGTTGTTGTGTTACATTGTTTAGTCTGGTAAGTGTGCAGCAACTGCTCAGTCTTCCAAAAACTCTATCAACAGGTATATAGTCTAGAAATAATTAAGTTGGTTTGTGAGTAGATTTGTAAATGTGGAACATCGTAGAAAACATCCTAAAAACAGGTATTGCATCAACACATCCATTTAATTAATTGAGTCCTTTATTATATTTATGTTTATTCGTTGTGTTTCCTCAGATAAGGACCAGTTGTTGGAAATTGCCAAGGCCAATGCTGCTGCCATGTGTGCCAAAGCAGGTATGCCCATCCCTGCTAGCCTGAGGTCCACAGTCCTTCCCCTGGCTCTTCCAAGTATGGCCATGAATGCTGCTATGGCCAGTATGACTGCTGGTATGATTTTGAATCTTGTTTCCTTAATGCATGATGTTTTTTTCTAAAATTACTGATCCATCAACTGCATTGTCCAGTCATTTTGGTCATCCCTTTAGGCTCCTATAATTCAATGTAATAATTTGCCAATAATGTAATACAATTTCTGAACCAATAACGTAATAATTTTTTGCGCATATTGTTAAAAGTAATTCAGGGATGTAACAATATATTGTGAGACAGTTAAATCGTAATACAAATATGTGAAGAATAAAATAGGTAGGATGAAAAATAAATTGTGATACTCTTTTTAAACAGCAGAGGGCGCTATCTGCTTTTGACTTTGCTTGTTTGATGTCTTATCACTCACCTCAGTTATACAGTCAAAAGTATATTAAGACATGTTACGAAATGGTGAATAGAGACATTGAAATTATCCTGTTTAAAATTGGAGGTGTGGCAGCTTTTTGGCTTTGTTTAGTTGGAAAATGAAAAAATGTAAGAAGATAGAAATGACAAGTGGTGTGAGGCCGTTTTCTGTAGTTGACAGGGTTATATTTTTAATTTCACTTTTACAAAGAAAACAAAATATGCAGTTTTGCATAGTATTTGAAACTTTATTTGAGTCAGACCTGTTGTTAATTTTTGTTAACAGTAGTGTTGGGGGTTAGCTCAGCTATGAATATTGAATTATTTACCTGACTACATCTCAACATTTCTTACCCTCAAGTATACATAAACTGCAGGTTATGAACTTCTTTTTAAAATACAAAAAATACTGTTTATAGGTCTGCAGCTATTGATTAATTAAGTAATTAAGTATTCTACAGATTATTACATCAATTAATCGAGTAATTGGACATGAAATACTTTTGTTTTATTAAAGCAATAGAGCAATAGTAAATAATCTTTTAACTTTCAGTCAGGGTGGGTAAGGCTTCTGCTGTACCCCCATTGTACTTGTAGTAGGGTATTAGTATTTTTGAATCTGAACCTTCCTCCACCCACAGCCTAACTGCCCCTGTATATTACTAGTCAAGTCTTTCCCTTTAAGAGAGGTGGGCTGTTTAGGTGACCTGTGACAGTTCTTTCCAAGTGTGTGAGGGGTTACATGACTTTACTCCGCCATAAAGTGTGTAGCTAAGCTCTGCTTGCAGTGTAATAGTTACTGAAAGGTTGCGTTTCTTTGCTGCCACAGAGATGAAATAAAAAGTCCCTGTTTATGTAACGTTAATGTTACTATGGTGTACAGACAGGTGTAAATTCAACTTTATGGTAATTTTGGAAGCTGAAGGGCTTTGTTGCAGTTGCAGTGGTATGGTGACTGTGTGGCTCTCCACCACTAACACTCCTAATGTATGTCCTATTTATTAATTGAATCCCAATGTGTGTGTTTTATTTATGTTTATTTACAAACATACAAACAATTATTACACCTCTATCTTAGCCTAGGTGTTAAGAATTTGAGGAAATTATATAGTTCAAATACACTATTTTAAGTTGCTATGTAGGTCAGACAAACAGTTGACAAGCTTGACTCTTACTTAAATAAGCAACTATACTTGTTTTTAATTGGCTCCTCTCTTGTTTTCTTTCTCTGTGTTTCTATCTTCCTTATAGCCACCATGACAGCCGCTTTGTCTAGCATGGGCACTCTGTCTTCACTGCTCTCACTGCCCTCCAGTACCAACAAGCCACCTCCTGTTCTTGCTCAGCCCAACATTTCTGCTTTGGAGGAAGTGAAGAGGAAAGTAGCAAAGCAGGCCAACAGTATCAGCATTAAAGAGTTTACTGATGTAAGTGTACAGAGCTTTTATTATACATCTTAACCATTTACCATTTACTAGGGAACAAGGTAGATGCACGAATTATGACAAGTCAGTTATTTTATTACTCTTTATGCATAACAGAAAATTGCTACTGTCATCTGGTTCCCACCTCAGACAACCACCAGCCTGAATTAACAGATAAACATTCTCTTTCGTACCCACCACTATTTGTGTGCTCAACTCTGTGAAGTATCAGCACATCTCCACCACACCTGTCCTGTCATTAATGCGTAATTGACTTGGTACTTTGCGCCTTAAATTAAGTAAAAGTTGTTATTATTGTTACTGTTTTCTGTAAAACTACAATAGTAAAGCAAGTCTGTTCTTTTTCAGACCGTACCCAACAATATTGCAGTGTGAAATGCTACACAGTACAAGCAGTGAACAGAGCATATAGCAACCATGCAGAGGTTCCAAGTAGTGTGGTAAATAAATGTTGCTTGAAGACAGTTCTTGCTTGTGTTTGCTTTGTTTGTAGAAGTGCAAGATGATTGTGGACAGTAAAGGAGAGCTACCGGTGGCAATGCCTCATGTTTCAGATGAAGAAGATGATGGGAAACCCTTTGGAGGATCAGCTCTTCGAGAACAAAAAGCCATCAGCTTCAGCATCAATGTAAAATCCACACACAGGCTACATTGCATCTTATATGAGTTTACATATATTTATGTTTCCTCCCTAATTTTGCTATGATTTCCTGCAGTGTAATATATCATGCACCACTATTTAGTGTATCTGTCCTGACATATTATTTTAATGCACACCTGCCATTCTTCTTCAGGGTTAAATGGGTAAATAACTTAAATGTAAGTCAAAGGTCTAGTGTGTAGGATTTAGTGGCATTTAGCATTGTAGTTCCTTGTTGCAATGCCCCTATCTCACCCTCCTGTTCCAAGCATGTAGGAGAAACTACCGTAGCCACAAAACTCACAAAAGGCCCTATCTGGAGCCAGTATTTGGTTTCTCCATCCTGGGCTACTGTAAATACATAGCGATTCAACATGGCGGACTCTGTAGAAGAGGACCTCCCTTTGTAGATAAAAACGGCTCTTTCTAAGGTCATTATTTTCAGGTCATTATAAGCTAGTGAAAACATACCTATGAATATTATATTCCAGTTCAGCTAATAGGTCCTACTCAATGTTACACACTGAACCTTTAAGTACTTTAAGAAGTCTCATCTTCTTTTTCCCTCCAGAACACGACAGTACGTCCAGCAGTGCGTAGTGATGCAGGCATGGCCAAGGAGTTTCCTGTGTCTTCAGGGTCCCAACATCGTAAGAAGGTCTGCATGGATGTGCATTGTACCATTTTTGAAAGTTCAGGTTTAAATTCTATGAGATACTTCAAGCTGAAGTACAGCAAACCTACTACCATGCCGTCCACAATTAACCTCTTTTGTGCGGACATTTACTGAAATTTTATTATTTCAGATAATTGAGAGCTACACGCCATAAATTATTCCACCTATGGGTGTAGTGAGAAAGACAGGAGCAATTGTAACACAGTAGTAACAATAACAACTATAATTGTATATGACTAATGGTGATGGTGATGGTTATGGTGATGATGATGACAAGGATGACAAGAAAGATTACAGATAATTAAAATAATATATACGTATGCATCCACATATATATTGATATTATAAATTATATATATATGGGTTGTCAAGAGAACCAATACTACGTTTGTCGATACCAAAATTCTGAAAACTTGCCCTTTTTCTACAGTACCATAGGTACAGAAGGTACCAATAATTAAATGTTTCCGGGCCTGACAGCGCGTCATGTGCCCCCATACGTATTCTAAATACTACAGAAAGAAGAACATGTTGTCAACTCTCTGTGTCTCTGTTGCTGTGTGTGTGTGTGTGTGTGTGTGTGTGTGTATGAGTCATGTCGATGTTATGTTATGGTTCATCGTTGTATATTACAGACAGACATTAAGACAATAGTGTAATGGTGGAGTGCAAAGGATGCTGGAATAAATATTATTATTATAATTATAAATGCTTATAGATATACATGCTGGTCAATTTTATCCAAATCCTACAACCTATTTGCAATTGATGGTACTTTTGGTTGTGGCTAGTGTAAGAATTGTCACAGTAGCCAATAGCACTGTGAGATTAAACTTGAAAGTAGCTAAAGAAAGACAAATTTCCATAATAATTACAAATGAACAAATTTCATAAAGTATTTCTGATTCTGATTCTGAAGACTGCTTTCTCAAAGTTCCTATTTAAAATACTTGAATTAATGTGAGTAATGTAATGTGTTGCACTGTTCAGGAAGGTGAGTCACTGGGTGCCTATGGAGAATGGGTTCCGGTTGACAAAACAGCAGACAAAGCTGCAGCTGCATCCAGAAAGGCCCTGACCAGTATTCCCATAGCAACAGCCACCTTAGCATCAGGTGAAACAGCAACAGCAGCAGGTTTATCAGACATTGTCGAACAGCCTGCATTTGGGGGAGATAATGACAGAGTTTTTCCTGACCCACTACTGCAGGTGAGAACTGGAGAAGTATGTGTCTATTTCCTATTGAATTGTTAGTAAAATCTTTTGTCAAGAGGAATGCCTTGTCTTTTACTGCAAACCAATAGATTTGGAGTTATGTATATACACAGTAGTATATACTATATATATATATATATATATATATATGGTATATCTATGAATGTATTTAATGGGGAATATGATTCAAATCCCTGAAAATGATTATCATGCATGGCTTTATAGTCCAGGTGATATGTAAATTAATAACAGCGTAAAACTCACACATGTATAGTTTGGGGCCCTGAACATTTTCAAACGTCGAATCATTGCAAAAACGTATGCCATCTCCAATAGACTTAGGTTGGATGCACCCAAGTGATTCGAGACCATTGTGGTCAACTCTTCCACAGGCAAGCCAGTCCGTCCCTGTAAGGAAGGCTGCCAGAGATACTGCACATGCAAAAAAGTCTTCTTTAAGTTTACAGCTTTGTGTCAATGTAGAGGAGACTGTTTTAGGTTTTAGGTTTATTATTTTTAAGCTAAGATGTTATGGTCATATTAGTCTTACGTTCACAGGAAATTTGGTGTCCGTATACGCCTGCCATTGGCTGACTATATCAGTCAGGATTCCCTTCCCCTTTCGGCCATTTGCGTGTTAGCATTTCCAGAGTCCCTGACGCTATGTGAAACAACAACAAGCTTTCAAGCTAGCAACCTACTTCCTGATTTGGAACATATTCTAACTCTGACAGCAGTCTGCATCACTGACATTGACTTCACCAATGTACCAATCCATTCCACTTCAGACGAGCCTCTTTGATACTGGTTTAATAACGTTCTGCTAGACCACTCACTATTAATTATTCACCAGTTTATGATGGTATCTTTGTAATCTTTGACCATGAAAACGTAGGGGTAGACAATCTATTCGGTTGTATTATGTTTTATTCAGGAGATAGCAAATACTTTCAGGTGATGCAAAATACATAATTTGGTTACGATGGAAAGTAAAATGACCAATAGCTCCATTTCTGAAAATGTTCAGGCCTCCCAACTGTGTGAGTTTCATGCTTTTATGAAAAAGTGATCATATCACTTCAGATTTGGCATATATGAACTGGAATATGATTAGATCTAAGTTTGTCTCAATTAACTGTTTGTTAGGTCTATACTTAAGAAGTCTTTTTTTTTTTTTTTAAGTTTAAAATCTTTCCCCCTATCCCTCTTTCTCTCCTCTCAATACTATTTTTCACCTCTCTCTCTTTCTCGTTCTGCAGCCAGTAGATATCACTCAGGCTGTAACTGAGAGAATCAAGGCTCAGAGGCGATTGGCTGAGAACCCCTATGATGTCAGTGCTATCTGCATGCTCAGCCGGGCACAAGAGCAGGTATAATGCACATATTTTAAGGATTATTATAATGAAAGATAATAAATAAAATTAAACAAACAAGATTCTACAACCACACTAGTGGCTTTGTTTAGTTTTGCTTAGGAACAGCAGTACTTTGTGCTACATGCTCAAATGTCAGCAACTAACATGCTCACAATGAAAATGGAAAAATGTTCACCATATTAGTTTTGTGACTTAGCATGCAAACATTTTCTAATTAGAACTTAGCACAAAGTAACACTGAAGTTGCAATGATGCATAATGCAGATTAGTTACTTAAAGCAGCTACAAGTAAGGGTTAGGGTTAACAGGCGTTAAGCCGTCCACGAGCCGGGCATATCAAACTGTTTATTGCCCTGCCTCTCGGTGATTATTCCGTTTATTCTACTTCTTGCTTGCCAACATAATAAAACAATTCAAATACTTTAATAATTATGCTTTTTCTTATTCGTATTGCATGCTTATTAAATGTATACTCTGTTTGAGTTCATCTCCTTCAAAAAGTAGTCCCCTTTAGAACTACGGTGAAAAACGTTAGGTCAGCTCTAGCTAATTAGTTTCTATAGCAACCACACAAGGCTGCATCTGATCACTAGTTTAATAACGTAGTTGCTACATTGTATCAAGTCAGCTTTAATTACGATCGATCAAACATGCATTCCTTATTCCAAATAATTTTTATTTGCAATAAATGTATAACAAAATTATTGCGATTCAGGCGATTAATTTATGTGTATTAAACTGGACATTCCCATTGATGGTAAAATGAGACATAGAGAAGGGCATAGAGAAATTCATGGCAGAGAAAGATGAATCAGACGAGGTAGGCCGAGAGGATTGCGCAGCTTAGGGGGGAGAGACCATGCTTGCTGCGGAGGCCTGCTGGGGTGCAGACAACACCCGACTCCAAACTTTTTTGTCCGTGTTGGATGGCGCCCAGTAGCTTTTGAGGCTGGATTCACACCTGCAAAAAAAATTATAAAAAAAATTATATTTGCAGTAGGCTTCAGGTAGGCTTCAGGTTATTATTACCACAGTGAATTTATAACCTAGGCTTAGGCTTACCTGTGTCCCGTAACAGACATGATTTGTCTGGACTCCAGCCCGGCCTCAGACAGACGACGGACAGCCGTGCTTCTAAGACTGTGGTTGGTGTATCTGGTGGTCAGTCCAGCTGCTTTGGAAAATCGTGGAAGCATGTCCCCCAGGTAGTTCTTCCCCATCGGCTGTGTGGAGTACCAGAGATGTGGTTGGGGGTCCTTCAGTGGATGGAGGTAGAAGGCGGTGACACCCAGCGGACGTCTGGCGAGATATTTTTTGAAGCTCAGGACTGGACGTCTGGGGTTGCCTGGCTCCACATACATTGCGCCTCGGAGGTTTTCCTTGTTTGGGTCATTTGGATGTTTGTTGTTCTTCGTCTCCGGTTTGAACGACAAACTAACATATTCATCCCCGGCGTCATCCACTTTTATGGCGAATGAGGACGCAGTCAGCTCCCGAGTGCCCTCCCTGCCTCACCTCGCCAAGCAAAGCTGGAGGTCAAACCAAATTTTGGAGACAAGACCTAATGGGGTGTCCGGGGAGAGAGCTGTGGATTCACGCAGCAATTTCAGGTCAGCCTCGGTGATGGGGGATGGTGTTTCGCCTTGTCTTGGCCATTCTTTTGATGGGTTTTTATGATGGATTTGAACACCCTGTTGCTGGTGGTAAACTCACTGTCCGCATATAAATTGAACCTTGAGAAATTACGGTTCAGTGAGGCTCTGATGCCGGTCATCGTTGCCACACTGTATGGCTTGCCTACTGCGTTTTGAACTGTAGCATAAAAACGTCTTAACAATTTGTTAAGTTCTTTGGCGCTGCAGGTGTCCGGGTCAGTTGTCACTGTCAGTCTATCCTTCTGGTGGCTCTTCCACTCGGTGAAAACCTTGATAGCAAAGGCAGTTGCCTTTTTCGTGTTTGATTCAAGGGCCCCGTCTTCAATTGTACGCATCTCTTCATCTGTCAGATCTAGGAAACGGGTATCCTGGGCCTTGTCTTTTGCTTTTGTCATTTGGTCGTCCTCGTTGCTCTTTAACCAGTCCTCAAATGTCTTCCCTATTCCAAATATATTAAAATTGACAATGAATTTGTCCATTTTTAAAACGCTGCAACGTTTAGAACTACAGTGAATAACATTAGCTCAGCTGTAGCTAATTAGTTTCTAAAGCAACCACACAAGGCTGCATCTGATCACTAGTTTAATAACGTAGTTGCTACATTGTATCTCGCTTGCAAAACTATGTATTGACTGACCCTCCGATAGATTTCCAACACATTTTAGAAACTTTTTTAAACAAGGTTTATTTTTACAATGGACCTCATGTTTGAAATTTCTGTAATAGAAAAAAGCGGCGTATTAACTAATTATAACTATTTTATACAGTAAACTGTTGCAGAGGTTGCATTAGACTTTCTCATTATCCATCATTTTGAGAGAAAAGGTCATAAAAATCCATATTATTATTACCTTATTTTTTTTATTTTTTATAAGAATGAGACATATAGCCTATTTAGTAGCATTTCATTTTCAAAAACACTCGATCACAATTTAATTTTATTTACAGATTAGACTGTAGACTGGGAACACCCCTTAAGAGCTCAAAAGCCATACGCTTGCCCATTTTCCAAGATATCAACTTTAAGGACTAAATGTTCACTTGCTACCTGATATATCCCACTCACTGATGGGTGCCATTTCTTTTTTTTCTTTTTTTTTTTTTTAAATAGCTCCACCCTTTCAGTCTTTCAGCTTTGCATATACCACTGTCAAAGTAGTGGCCATTGTCTGGAGGAAAAACAGATGTCCAACTGCAATAACTTAACAATAACTTATGCAATAAAGCTACTGTTGAGCATTATGATCAGACCTGCTCAGCCTAAAGTGCATGCATTGACTTAATATGTTTCTCTATATTTAACTACATGTCCAGTACTGCACTGCTTAATTTTTTCAGACAGTATTGGATCTGATTCCTTGATTCATTTGACTATCCTGTTCTGATAGGTGGATGCATGGGCCCAATCCAACACTGTTCCTGGTCTGTTCACTGGTTCAACTGGAGCGCAGGTCCTCAGCTCAGAAGAACTTTCCACCAGTGGACCACAAGCATGGCTAAAGAAGGTAAGACACAACCAAATAAAACGTACCAAAACAGCATTCAGACAAATCTTGCAAATAATTTGCATGGTCAAGGTTATTTGACCATGCTTTTTATTGCCAATTTTCCCAATTTACAAAATATAAACAGTGCACTTTGTCTAAGAAGATATCTAGAGAGAGAATAAGATATATTAATCCCCAATGGGGAAATCATGCACTATAGACATGCAAATGTGGACAGTGGAATGATGGGCTGCCACTTAGGGGCGCGCCACGAGAAGTTAGGGTCTGGGTGCCTTGCTCGAGGGCACCTCGGCAGTGCACAGGAGGTGGAACTGGCACCACTCCAGCTGCCATTCCACACTCCATACTGTGCTGGATTTGAACCAGCAACCCCCTGGGTTCTAAGCCAAGTCCCTACAGACTGACTTACTGCTGCCCCTAAACTAATCCCAGGTATCTATGCAGCCATGCTGCCTAAATAGCCTCCTAAACTGGGTGAGTGGTATAATTAGAAATGGGCCCTACACGTCTAGGTATACACACACAAAGCAAAACGTAAAACATCTATAGCTGCCACGCATATGTACATTTACATGTACTTTAGGGCTGCCAACGAATATTCTTAATTGGATAATACAATCAAATTGCAAAAAAGCGAAGCATTTGATTATAAAAATTAAATGGTGGTTGTGATTTTAAAAACACTGCAGGATGTCATGTCACTTTCATTGATTGAAAATGACATGTAGGTCAACCTGAAACAAGTAAATTATTCAACTATAATTGTGTGGTCATGATGGCAGAAAGTGTACAATCAAACCTGGCCACAGAGAGAGTGATTTGCAATCTAAAAGCCCTGTTTGTAATAATCAGAAGCGGCAAATGATAACTAGATTCTAGAGAATCCTGTCCGAAAAAACCCCAGAGATGTGATTGTGGTTGGGTGCTATTATGCACAGGCATTAATTAGATAGCTCTGAAATGCATCAAGAAACAATGCTTGCATGCCTTTTCCTTTTTTTTGTTTTTTGTTTTTTCTTACACAATTATGTATAAAATAGTACATTCTCTGTAATCTCTTTGGCGTTGTCGCTGTCTGGAACAAGTTTCTTTCTCTAGTGTTTCTCTTGGTGCTTCAGTGCAGCTTTTGCCTGAATAAACTGTATTCTGCTTAGCATTTATAACCGTTGTTTCTATACTTTTTGTTGCATTTGCAGTGGTGTGTTGAGTGTGGAGTATGGAGCTATTATTGTTGCAAAACTATTTACAAATGTGCGTGGAGATTTGGGTAACTGTATTTCAATCCATGCGTGTGTAATCAGATTTGTAAATGTGTAAAAAAAAAATTACAAATCTATATTCAGATTTGTAAATATGTAGACAAATCTGTAAATGCGTATATATATCTGTATTTAAGCAGACAAATCTGTAGATGCATCAATATTTACAACTTTTGCTACACATCTGCTGTGGCAGAGATCTGCAAATGCGTGTCGTGATTTGTGTGTGTGTGAGGAGAAATTTGTCTGTGTGCCTCAGTAGCTATGCCCACTTCTGTCTGGGAAAGCCTCAAGGGCATAAGTAACAGTAGGTTAGTCAGTAAGGCCCAAGAAAAAATAGTCAGTGAGGCCCCAGAAACAAGGCCAATTAAATTCAGTGCTCCATATCGCTATTTTCCTGATTTCATAGGTGGTAGGTGAAAAAATGTAGACAGCTCAGCAATGTCATGCTACTGCCGACTGGTGGTATGTAGGCTGTATAGCTTCTGAGACACATAGACAAATCTCTCCTCACGCACACACATTACTGGCAGATTTCAGCCACAGCAGAGGTATAGCAAAAGTTGTGTTAAAAGACAGCCAATTAAAATTCCCATCTGAGTAGTAACGGATGAATCGTCTGTACTTTCAGCTCATGGAGAAAATACTTAGACTTCTCATACATTAATATGTATATCTGCATTTACATATTTGTCCACACATTTTCAGATCATAATTACAGATTTGTCTACATGTTTACAAATTTCAATACATTTGCAAAACTGAATACAAAATTTTACACATTTACAAATCTGTTTAGGCACACACAGATTCTGAGCACACATTTGCAGATTCCTGTACATATTCACAAATCTCAGTACATATTTACAGAATATTTTACGCATTTACAAACCTGGACTACACACACGGATTGAGATGGCTGCACCGTGTTTGAAAGCTTTGTGAGTAAAAGCTGTTAGACATTTGTCATAAATCAAAAAATCATATCAGCTCAATATAGCTGATACCAATCAGTTAAAAAATGACTTGATCAAGCCGATACTGATCTTTTCGATTGGATCGAGAAATCCCCAGTTTGTACTTTTGTAAACTTTCAGTCTGGCAGCAGGGTAAGGGGAGGGATTCTCCAGAAGATAGATGTAAACATCGCCAAACTGGAGCTCTGGCAAGGGTGTTTTCAGGTCAAGTTATCAAGTCCCCAAATCTTCTAGTTTGTTCATGTATCTTTGGTTTTCTTTTGAGAGGTGATCTAAATATTTGTCAACCTGACAAATGTAAAAAGTTATTGAAAAATTGTATGATGTAGACCCCCAATCCAAACTTTTAATACTTTAAAAAAAATTAGACTTTAGTAACTGGGGTCATGGGGTGTGGAGGTGTAGTCTGAAAAGCTAGTGACTTTGCACATCCTGTCCTCCTTTCCAAGACGGAAGTGTTTTCTTTAAATAACGTGCAATGTGTGCGTTTGCACACACACACAAGTGCTGGCCTTGCCAAATGTCATCTTAGGTAGGTACCAACACCAGCTGTATATCACTCCAGTGTGTTGGTATTTGACTCAATTTAACTGTTTAAAGGGTGGGCTTTTTCTTCCTGTTTCTCAACCAAAGCATGAGTCATCCTTATTTCCGCTCAATCATCTCTCACTATTTGTCACATCCCACTGATCTTCCTTTTTCCCCCTCTTTCTCTGTCTCACTATTTTTCTTCATTAGGACCAGTTCCTCAGGGCAACTCCAGTATCCGGAGGTGTCGGGGAGTTCCTGATGAGAAAGATGGGCTGGAAGACTGGAGAGGGCCTAGGAAGGAACCGCGAGGGCACCGTGGAGCCAATAATAATTGACTTCAAGGTTGACCGCAAAGGTCTGAGGCCACAGAATACTGGACCAAAAGCCTAGTGATACAGATTATGATAATGAGTGGCCATTTGGCTGTCTTAGCTCATCTAGACCTGTCTCAGTGTCTGTTGGGAAAAGGGAATGGCAGAGCAGAAGTAAGTTTTCTAGGTTTTGAATGTGGCTATGAAAAAAAGCTCTTGAAGAGCCTCTCATCCTTTGAGCTTGAAATGCTATAGTTGCATCTACTTAAATTTAATTCTGGTGGTGGAATTTGAAGAATCTATACCCCACCCGCCAATTCATACTTTGCACGTGGCGTCACAACTACTAGCTGACGGGCAAGAACATCGTTCTCCAGCAACGAAACCCAGTAAACTAATCAAGGATCTTGCCAGGACGTCGCCAGTTTTACTATACAAAAGTATATATATCATATGTACGTGATTTGATATGATATGATGAGAAGAAGAATACATGTTACAGTACACACGTTACTGTTGAACTGTGTCTACTTACTTACTTACAGTTACTTTGCATACATACTATCGTACAGTTATTACTACTACATTAACGTTACAACCTAACAGATTGCTAATAGGATTATAGGCATTTCGCTGCCCCAGCTGCTCTTGTCTTTTGTCTGATGCTATGTGGAGTGGATAAGCAGGTAGGCTAGAATGTTTGACATCCTGCTAGCCATATATGATACAGCCTAGTTGGCATAAGGTTTTTTTTTTAAACTAACGTTACTTATCAAGCTGTCATTCGCCGGCAGGCAGGGTGTACATATTCAGATGAAGACTTCATCACACGACGGAACAGATGTCACTTTGTGTATAGCTACAAACATGCAAACATTAGCAAACGTTAGCTGGTAACGTTAGCTAGCTAACTAGTAACACTCATGTTTGCTTTGATTATGAAGTTATTCCTGTTTTTCACCTCCCATACGACAGCGTTGTTAACCCATCCACTCTTGAAAAAAAGATAGCTATCCGTACTTTTGTAAGCTTTCAGTTTTTGTGCGGTGTAAGGTGACAGATGTGTAAATATATATGTTTCTTGCCCGCCAGGTAACCATGGTAATCACGTGACTGCAAAGTATGAATAAGAACACACTTCATTTACTTTCAAAATACAGTTTTCCACTCAGTGAAGATCTTCAATGTGAAATTTCCACTCACTACTATGAGACTGCAAAATACTGGTTCACAGTAGTACCCTCAGTTCATGTCCAAACTCTTTCTCGAACTCCAGAAAATCCGGAAATGTACTTACTACCTGTTACCGAACCGGACCCCTCTATTATTTGAAAACAGGGACTCAGACACATGCAGAAACATGCAGGAGACACAGACCTGATAACACTGATTTCACAGCTAATTGGTAATAACAAGTTAACGTTAATTTAAGTAGGCCTATTTCAGCTGCCCGCCAATGGCAGCTGAGCTCATTTATTGAATTTGCCAACATACTCGCATTTGGCGTTTGGGTGATGACAAGGATTTTTTTATGTGTTTCAGGACTGGTTGCTGAAGGAGAGAAGCCACAGAAGCAGACAGGGGGACTAGTGGTAACCAAGGATCTAATGGGTAACAGATACACAGCAAACACAGTCACAGCATGTACAATGAAAATAAACCTGAATATTTTCCTGCAAAAATTCTGTAGCTTTAAGCTTTAGCCTCACATTTACTCCATATTAAGAGATTAATTCCTGACACTGGCATCAATTGGATCAGAAAGGTCCTCTGTTAGGAAAGTCATTATTGGTAACATCTACTCAGGTGGAACAATTGTAAACTGAATGTAATGGTCATACCGTCACAATACAGAGAAATATCACTCTAATTCTGAAGGAAATTAAAACGCTTCATTCATTGGTCTGCCTCTAACGTGGTCAGTCGACTGAAATCAACAAACAGCTGATGTAGGTGTTGTTTTTCTCAAGATGTGTGAAAACTGAGTGGAAGGAAGTAGAGATGATGTGTTTCTCCTGGGTGGCGATCTCTCTGAACATGTGCCAGTCTTTGCACTAGGCAGGAGAAGCAGGAACACGGTGTGATAGACCAAAAGGGGGAATGGGGAGGGCTTTGTGGCAGCCAGGAATATTTGTGTCAACATGGTCCAGTTTATTTGTTTCCCTGGTGGGGATGTGGACATACTCGTGGAATTTAGGTAAAACGGCTGTGAAATTTTTTCTGACTGCATTTGAAAACCAAGTATCACTGATGTACAAACACAGAATCTGTGTCCTCCTGTCTTGCTGGAATCTTGTGTTCAGTCAGCAAGGAACATGCGCCGCCTAATTGAGTTCAGTAGCTTTATCTGGGATGTTGTGGTGCAAGTCTCTGATTTCCCGGTGCTGACCTAGCTTGAGTCTTATTTCATCCATTTTATTATATTGCAACTGTACATTAGCTAGGTGTAGGCTGTGTATTGGAATAGCCTTAGGTCCAAGCTGGGTTAACTTAGCTCTTATCCTGGCTCTCTTTCTTCTGTCTGGAGCGATTGCACTGCTTGCATCTGTCTGTTCTGGCTGGGTGATTGGGAGATTCCATGTGCAGTGATCATCTCAATGTCTCCTGACGTTGATGGGTGTATTTCTCACATGAGTAATCATAAGTAATACCAGCTTCACTAATAATAACAAATTAAAACAAAATTCTAGCAAAGTTGTCACCATGGTAATATTATGGGGACTAACATCATTACTCATGAATACAGTTGGGCTCATTGAATCAACATTAGTCTCAGCTTTCCAGTCAGCCAAATTGACAATACCAATATGGTTCTGGTTACATATAAATATAGATATATACACATACATATGCATATGTGTATACACATACATGTATTTCCCCTTACTTTTCCCTTTTTTCTGTGTATGTGTAGATACTAAGATCAATGTGTTTTCAGATTATGATTGGTAGACAGGCAAGATGAATAACTTATTGAATAGAATCTGATTTGTAAGAAATTAATGAAAAATTACCACATGGAGTGTTAAGGCCTGTGTATTAGCAGGAATATGACGATTCAGTGCGTTTCATAATACAATTCAATATATTATAATATACACAGATTAGCCATAACATTATGACCACCTGGGAATCTTGTCTGACACCTTTCAATTAGAGCCAGCATTAACATTTTCAGCAATTTGAGCTACAGTAGCACGTCTGTTAGATTGGACCACACAGGCCAGCTTTCACTTCCAATTTGCATCATTGAGCCTGTAGCCGGTTCTCTTCCATCCTTGGACCACTGGTTTTTGAGTAGAAAAAGTTAATGAAAAGTAAAAGAAAAAAATGTCAGTGGAGAGGTGCTTGTTCGGATCAGTAGTCTATCAGCTGGGGCCCTCCATCTTGGGTGTTACATCTGTGTCACATTTGCATCCACAGTGGCATCCTGTCCTCTGTCTCTGCAGCCTTACTGGAAGCCTTATTCAACAACTCTAAAGCTTCTGTCGGTTTCCTGTGTGTACCTTTTGTAAGCAATCTGAATCCAGTATGGGCATAGCAGACTCCACCACCATCAATTAAAACAAATGTATAGAGTGATTAGTGCTGGGTTGGTATGACCAAAAATGTGTACCACTGTATTTTTTAAGATTCTGGCAGTTTCATAGTACATCTTGATTGATAATGGCTTATTCTACTGGAGTACATAGAATATAAAAAACATTTTGATGTCATCATGTATATACTGAAAGCTTTAATTACTACAGGGTTTTCACAAAAAAACAGAACAGTTGCACAATAGCAGAATGTAAAAAATTTTTATTGTCTGAACTGCAACAAACTTAAAAATGTGCCAACAACTTAAACATTGCTTCCTTTTTAGAACAAGATATTTCAAGATAGTTGTATAAACACTACAGACTGAAATTAAATACTCAAATTGTCATAAGTTGTTGTGTGCTGTGGTGTTTTGCCCTGTTAACAGTTAACCTGACAGTTAGTTGTGGGTTATTAATTGTTGTGTTGTAATTATTTGTAATAAGGGTATGCAGTTTAGGCTCATGCTCACAAGGCTCCCTTCTGCATGCAGTAGTAGTGCTCCTCTCACCAAACCCAATACTGCTGTCTATTGAAGAGTTATAGCAATTGTTTCAGCTAGAGGTATATGGAAATTGCATATCATACAGGTAATTAAAACCAGTTTTGCTATTAATTTGAAATATTTGACACAAGAAAATGAACAAAGGTGCATTTTGTTTACTTCCTGTGGCAAATATGCAACCTGTGACGACCTGAGCAGTCAAACCAAACCATCAGCTAAAACTGAATAAGAATGGATAGAAACTGGGTGGACTGCTGGAGACACCTCATATAATAAAAGGAATAAATCTAACAATAGATTGGGATTGGGAGTTTATCATAGAGATCATTTCTGCAGGCTGCTAATCTAATCTAGAACATTTTATAACCAGATTCCAAATTTACTGCCTCAAAAGAGAGCAGTGGGGGGGTTAAACTTTAAATCAATTGCTACTGCTGTTTAGTACACTGTTCATTTTGTAAAATTCTTGCTTTCAAATTCAGCTTCTTCAGATAGTCCTTGGCTCTGTTCATATTTGTGTGCCCTTTTATCAATATGTAGGGAAGCACCCGGTGTCTGCTCTCATCGAGTTGTGCAACAAGAGACGGATAATGCAGCCAGACTTTGTCATGGTTCATCACAGTGGTCCTGACCATCGCAAGAATTTCCTGTTCAAGGTGGGTCACCCTTTTCATGAGATTTTTGCATGTTCGACCTTTGAGGTTTTCACACACTTCTAAAAGCTGACGCATCTTATCTGAGTTCTATGATATCAGATCTGAAGAAATTCTCAAATCTTAAATTTAGTTTAACCTTACTTTCTTCCTTCATCTGACAACAAGATTAAGAGTTAACAGTCATTTGCTGAGGCACAGCATTGCTTTGAGCTGATGTTGCATGATAACACAATTACAAAAACAATGCTAACATGGTAATGCTAAGCAGATAAAATGTTTATCATGTTCAACATTTTAGGTTAGTGTGGTAGTATGCTAACATTTTTAATTTGTACAAAACACACAGAAAGAACAGTTAAGGCTGATGTACATCTAATTAGTTTTGAGGTTTTGGTCATAAACAGAGGTATTGACATACAAAAGACCTTTGATTCTCTGCCCAAACCTGCTGACGTAGGTTGGGCTCAAAAATAATTTCCTTTTTAATACATATATATTTAATATTTTATTAATAATGCATGTAGCTGTAATTAATGAGTGCATTTGTGATGATATATTATACTCTGATGCAGCGTTCTTATGTGAGTGAGCCTGCTTTTCTGTATCTGCGGCCTGTGGGACAACTAGACATAAAACAATGTGATACAGAGGTGCTTTATTTGCATATAGTAGAGACAACAGAAAGTATCCATTGACCCCCATCCAACAGCCTCTGTGTAAATCTGAGGACCTGACCACCTGACTTCACACACAAAATACTACAAATGACCAGCATTTTCCAAATGCTGTGAATGTATTTGAAGTCATCTTGATTTAACTCAGATCAGGCTCTTTTTATAATGCCCCATATCACCCCTAAATGCTGTGGGATACACACACTTATGATTGAAAACTCAACACAGTTCACATTGCCAACAGTTTCAAAACAGCAACAGTGAGAAAAAGTTTTTTTTAAATGAATGAATGAGTTTTGCTTCCCACCCCTATTCCAAAGTCGGCTTTCATTGCAATGCTGTTGTTATTTATTGTATCCTTTGATGGTTAAATTATGACATTTAATCATCCATATGTTTTGTCGTCTCCAGGTCACAGTGAATGGTGTGGACTACCAACCACAAACAGCTAGTCCCAATAAGAAACATGCCAAGGCCATGGCAGCTACAGTTGCCCTGCAGGCTCTGGGAGAGGTAATATTAAAAATAATAGAAGCAGTTGTTTCTCGAACACCAACAAAGAGGGAATATATTTTTTGTGTCTGCTTGACCATGGGTCAGGTCCATAAGAGCTAGCATTAAAATACATACATACACAGAAAATAAGTACATTGAATACTTCTCAATGATATCTCCGTATAGCCATGAATAACATTTACAACAAGGCAGCAGGTCTCTGGGAGTACAACTGTATGTGTGAAAAAGTCTTACGTACAAAGCCTTGTGTGGCTCCAAAGTGAGCTGCTTCAAATCTGATAAATTGCCTCAGGTGATGTCATTTGAGTCAGCATCTGTTGGGTCTGAAGACTACAAGTTTGTCGTCTAGGGATGTGGAGTTAGAAAGAAGTGGATTTTGTTGCCCATTCCTCACCTCTGCTTCAGGCTACAGTCTCTAGGCTACATTGTCAGTTATTAGCTAAACACACCAAAATATCTCACAGAACTGATGGCAGTAAAGTTGCATTGCAGGTAATCTAGGCGCCAGGTTATATCTAGGAAGAATCTAAAGAATATAAAAGACAATGCATCTTTGTTTCTGCTGCATCAATTTGCATCGTGTCCATGAAAAATCAGTTGTTATTTCAGACTTTTACACACATAGAAGACTCACATGACGCAAAGCATCTTTTGTTTCTATGACAACTAGCAGCCATGAGGTGTCATGTCATTAGCCCTGGCATACCTGCATATATAGCAGAGTAAAACTTTGATATTTTGATATTTTTTATCTCTTTTGTTTAGATATGTTTAAAAATCGAACATAAAATGTGGCTCATGAGAATTTTGCTTTACCTTTTAGGAAGTAGTAAAATTCAGAAATGCACAATTAATAAGCAATGAAATGTACATCACGTGGCACCCTTTGACCCTCTTTGGAAACTGCTGCTGGCTCTTAGTATGTTATATTTTGAAAATAAAAAATAAAAGTAATTCCAACCTGGTTGACTTTTATTCAAGATAATATTATTTAAACCGTGATAAAAAGATGAATCAATAACACAATAAATATGAACTGTCTGTTCTGTCCTAATGCTGAGTTATTAATCTCCATCAGTAATGTCATTGTGTTACTTACTGTCTGTTACACTACCTGCTCAAACTGTTGACGTAACAACAGAAGCCAACTAACTATGACTCTTTTTTTTTTTTTTAAATCTGAAAAAGCTGTAGTGTACTTTTCAAGCACTTAAAAACTATTAAGTCGTTTAGTATACATCCTAAGGCTTTACACAGATTTTTTTATTGCTTATCATTTTCAGCCTGGTGTACATTTTTAAAATCTGCTAGTTGTAAAATACTAGATAGATTATATGCCTGTTTATATTATATAGAAATATATAAATGTGTTTTATTTTGTTCCTAGGTTCCTGTTGATGGACCAGGACTCTATACTGGCCCTGTCTTCACTGCTGCTTCTACTGGCCCCCTGTTCTCTACATAGACATACACACAATAGTGGTACTAACATATTCTGCATATTTCAACTGTTTGCCTATATTCTCACTTCAGTTGGGGGAAAATGACAGAAAGGGTCTTTCAGTCCTATAAAATAACTGGCCCATGGTTTCTACGCTGGTGGTTTATTTATAAACAAAGAAATGAATAAATTATCTAGGTACACAACAGTGAGAAACATGAAGACCAGTCAGGCTTCAGATGACACAGAGTATCTTTGTATTGATGCTACTTGTGAACGATTTTATGCCCACACTTTTTTTCACTTTGTTCATGACAGGGTGACAAAAATATTTTTAAAAAGATATTGAGAAGTTCCCATCGTATTAAATGTGGTTGGCATGTATGTATGTATGATACTGTATGTATGATGATATGTATGATCTAGTAGCATTTCAGCCTGATACATATTAGCTGACCAATACATAAGTCTAACCCTAGACAAGACATGAGTTTCTCTGAAATGGATTTGTTGGTCAAAGCAAAGCAGAGCTAAGCTGGGCTGTTAAATGAAAAGTTAATATGTAAATTAATGTGTCTTGTTGTTTAGCAACTTTTCTGTTGTTCTTGATAGTAAACTTTATGGAACTAACCTTCTAAAATGTGTAAACAGAAATAAAGATTATATTTATTTAATGTGGTAGAGGAAGCCACATTATGTTTCTTGGTAACAATGCCTGTTGAATGTGATTTAAGCTTCTTAAGTGTGTCACCAAAGTCCTGTTTATAAGACTAGGGAGGGTGCTGACAGCCATTTCTGCCCTCCAGTACACACAGGAGTTGAGGTAGCTGTTTCTTTTCTCACCTGTTAAGAGTCTCACAGGGAGGTAAAAAAACGCATGCAAGCAGCCTAACTAACCAGGAAGAGTTACTTTTGCAATGACACCCTTTCATCATCTTCCCATATTCAATCACTTGTCAGATGTGTTTGTTACTGCACCTTGGCAAGCCAGGGGCACTACTGCTTAGCACTAAAAATGGGTATCTGCTGTGGTTGGCAAGTACTTTTTCTCTGCATCACGCAGTCCGGAGCTTGTGGAAATGTTGTGTTGCGTTGGTGATAGTGAAGTTTAATAGACCCTTTAGTGCTTCAACTGCTATGAGCTGCTATTTATGCGAGTTGACAATAACTCCATATAAATAAGGTCTAGAAAGGTTAGAACCTATTTTCTGATAGAGAGTTAGTGGGGGGTTCGAACGCACTGCACTCATTTTCTTAGCAGTTGTTAGACCAGAAAGTACTATACTTTTCTGATATGTAGGGAATTTGAGCAAAAAGATGTAATTCAAAATCAAAACTGGTATGATATGATGATGATATGGTACTTTCTCTGAAATAAAAACTCTTCATCTGGAAGCAACATTCTGCCAGAATTGGAATGGAATTTTCAGCCATTTTTTCGCGTTGTATTTGAACCAACTCCTCCTAGGGAATTTATTGGATCCACTTCAATATTGGTTAGTATAGTCAAAAAACATTGCTGAATAAAAGTTGTGCTATTTGTGACATATTGTCAAAGGGCGTGTCTGTGGCGTGCCATCAAAGTTGGCCATTTTTAATTGAATGAAAAGTCACTGTTGCATTTCCAGCAATTTCAGGGTTTTTATTTTAACAAACTCCTCGTAGTGAATTTATCAGAACAACTCCAAATTTGGTGAGCACAATCTAAACACCTCCAGAATTTAAAGTTGTGCTCCTCATAAATATTCATTGAACGGCGTGTCCGTGGTATGCCTTAAAAAATCTGCCTTGACATGACAATGGAAACACTACCGGTACTGCTAAGTGCCAATATTCAGTCGCCGTCATAGCGTCATCTACTGGCAACAGGAAGTAAGCCTTGTGTGGCGATTGTGATGTGATTTCTGTGAAATTTGTGACTTGGTGTTGTCAAGATGTACTGGTGCGGGACCCGACGGCAGCACACCCCGATGTGCACCGAGTGCCAGGGCCGATCATCACTGCTTGCAGTTTAAATTAATCTGTCTCTGTCACTCTCTGTGTGATTTGGTGCCATACAAATAAAATTGAATTCGAAAAATGTGCTAGAAGTATTAAAAGAACATAAGACGCACATGACATTAATTATTATCTCATGAAATAGAGCTTTCAAGATATTATCCCATTCCATGTCCAGCCAAAGGTTTTTGTGTTTTGTCTGATGGGAACATTATATAAGAGGCGTCAGTAAAATATTAGTATAAGGTGGATGCCACACCTTTAGATCTGCTTTTTATAACAATCAACTTCAACAAAAGTGGATGCATTGGCAGAGAGTGTTGCCATGGTACACCATGTAACTGAAGAGCTGCCCCAAGCTGTAAATAGAAGAAAAGGGCTGTCTGGCAGGTTGAAGCTGTTGTTAATGCCCTAAAAGGAATGTAACCCATCTGTATCATAGATATACTATTTACACCCCTCTTTCGCCACTGAGAGGAGATGACATGTCTTCCCCAAATCAAAAGACCTTTGTTATTGAAGATTGGGGAATGGAGATACTATCTGCAGGAAACTCTACAGAACTTTGTTATTGACCACCGGACTCAGAGGAGTTGAGTTATAATCAGCTCAAATCATTATTGACATAGCCTGCAAGATATATTCACAAAAAGAACATCTGATGGAAGACCAAGGACGCACCATTGCTTCTTATAGTGTGTGCCATGAAACTGTCACTTGAGGGTCAAACCATGAGACTAAAGAGAGAGTGAGCGTGAAAGGACGCTAAATGTTCAAATTGAGTCTTTCGCAGGGAGATAAGCACTTCCTTCGTTCAGTGTTTCTAGTTCAGAAACATTCAGTTTAATTACTTTGTGTGAACTTTCTTGTCTAATTTGACTTAAAGATACCAAATGTGCAGACTCAGGTTTTTACAATAAATAAGCACTTTCTTTGTTCCTGCTGTCATTCTCTAACAGAAGGTATCATAATAAAGTTTGTACCTTAAAAACATTAACAGTTGAATACACATGATAGTTAACAAGGTCTGTGGTATCACATCTCACATATTGACTTTATAGTCTAATTTGACACAAAATTATGATAATAAGCCTCTTTCAGTGAGATAAAAAAAGAGTGTGGTAAATAATATTCATCCACCTGATGAGTTGAAATTCATGGGCAACGTCCACAAATGATGGATGAAGGTGAGGTAATCAAGGTAGCTCGCTTGCTAACTGTGGCTGAGGTGTACAAAATGTTTGTCTTTTTGGATGAAGAAAGAGATACATTTCCCACACATAGGAACTGTATGTCTCAGGGAACAGAATGCAAAAAGAGACTAAATCAGTAGAGCTGTATGTGACAAACCTGCGCGTCAAGAAGCTATCCTGTAACTTTGGCACACTGTGCAACTCCATGATAAGAGATAAGATAATAGATGAGACAGATCACATAGTCACAAAATGCAGCACACTCCTCACTTTCTGAACAAAATGGATCCCCAGACCTCTCCCCTCCTTTACACTAAGTGGGTACTAACTATTAGTGTATCTGGCAATGTACCCTCATATCTAGGCATTGAAAAAATGTTGCTAAGGAGCTTAGCTCAATTTCCATAAAACGGTTCGGATAGAACCAGTCTTTTTTCTTCTTCGGGCCAGCTCTCTGTACCTCCTGGACAGAGGACTTTAATGTGTAAATTAATTCTTCTTGTGAGGCTATGTATTCTGAGGCAATGTTACACCTCAGTGCTTCTTTAAAGGGTAAAAACAACCTCTTCTATAATATTTTGTTCCTTGATTATATTGCTGGTGATCTTTTGTCCGCAGAAAGGACTGTTTTATTTTTTTTTCTCTTTCTTTCCTTTGACATGGTACTAATATAAGCAAGAATGTATATAATGTAATTAGTGTGCCTGAAAAGCAGACTACTATTATTGCTCATACTAATTATTATTCTTCTGTGTCGTTTTTCAGTCGACTACTCCTCCCACAGTTTTGGTTGCACACACACAAAAAAGGTATCAAAATGTGCGGCTCGGCTGGGAGATTAGTGCTATGACTTTTCTAAGCGTTTCACCAAACAGTTTGCAGATAAAGGGTTAGCAAATGTCACTCTACAGAAATAATTTATAGATAGAAACGTAGGAAAGTCCGATGGGGTCGCAGTGATAACACTGCTGAAGCTGTCAGACAAATAGTTTTGGCGGGAAATGCACTGATGTGCCAGCAACATCCCCTTGAGACTCCATCTACTCCCATGTAAATTGGAGAGGAGAATTTTTGAAAGGAGCTCAGAGCACCTGTTCTTCTTCAATCTCCCGAGGTCACATTTTCAACTCAGCATTCCTATGGTCAACAAGATGACGATGCTCACGGTCTTTTCGGTTTTCATTTCGGTTGTTCCTGGCCAATGGTTCGAAAGGGTTCATTTTTTTAGAGAAAGTGAGCAGCTGCACTTTACTGCTCTGGCCTACTGTTGACAAGCAACCAGGGCCAGGCCATCAGTGCGTTTCCCTATTTAAAAATGTAATAAAACATCAAGTTAGATTTAGATTTAATCAAAGGTCCCATACAACATCTGGACAGCAAACTACACATTGAGTCTGGACCCATGGTCTGCACCCTGAACTTGATATTCTTGTGCTATTTTGTGGTTATGTATCTGTGGGAGTAAGCATACGGTCAAGTTGGAGTTTTCCCATTTCCGGGGTCTTTTGAAGCAGCATAAGGCTTGAAGCAGAGAGAAACATGCTTCCACAAAAGTCAGATGTGGAAGAATTATCAGTGGAATACTGTGCTAAAGTTAAGTTCTGATTGACTGGCTGGCTGAGTGTTACATGCCTCCTGATTGGCTAGTTTAGTGTTACACGCCTCCTGTTTGGCTGGCTGAGTGTTACACGCCTCCTGATTTGCTGTCTGAGTGTTGAACGCCTCCTGATTGGCTGGCTGAGTGTCAAAGGCCTCCTGATTGGCTGGCTGAGTGATACACGCCTCCTGATTGGCTGGTTAGTGTTACACGCCTCCTGATTGGCTGGTTAGTGTTACAGGCCTCATGATTGAATGGTTTAGTGTTACAGGCCTCCTGATTTGCTGGCTGAGTGTTACACGTCTCCTGATTGACTGGCTGAGTGTTACACGCCTCCTGATTTGCTGGCTGAGTGTCAAAGGCCTCCTGATTTGTTGGCTGAGTGTAACATGACTCCTGATTGGCTGGCTGAGTGATACACGCCTCCTGATTGGCTGGCTGAGTGTTACACGCCTCCTGATGGGCTGACTTAGTGTTACACGCCTCATGATTGGCTGGCTGAGTGTTACACGCCTCCTGATTGGCTGGTTAGTGTTAAACGCCTTATGATTGGCTAGTTTAGTGTTACACGCCTCATGATTGAATGGTTTAGTGTTGAATGCCTCCTGATTGGCTGGCTGAGTGTCAAAGGCCTCCTGATTTGTTGGCTGAGTGTAACATGACTCCTGATTGGCTGGCTGAGTGATACACGCCTCCTGATTGGCTGGCTGAGTGTTACAGGCTTCCTGATTGGCTGACTGAGTGTTACACGACTCCTGATTGGCTGGCTGAGTGTTACATGCATGCTGATTGGCTGACTCAGTGTTACACGCCTCCTGATTGGCTGGATGAGTGTTACATGCCTCATGATTGGCTGACTGAGTGTTACATGCCTCCTGATTGGCTGGCTGAGTGTTACACGCCTCCTGATTGGCTGGCTGAATG